GGGTAGCCATTGGGAGAGCAGCAATATCTCTCTGGATATCTGCAGACAGTAGACGGATGGGGAGAGACCGAAACTGGGAGACACCTAGAAGGCTGTCACAGGCTATTAGGTGAGCCGAATAAGAAGTGAGGCTAAGGTGTTCACAGTGAAAAGAACACAAGAAATATGAATTATATCAGGACCCAGTGTTAGCAGGAGAGCTGTGGCATCTTATCACACGGACATTTAACAGATGACAACTGAACTTTTATACTGAGAGAATAAAAACCCAATGCCTCCCTTTTCAATAAAAAGATGGCAGGAAGTGAACTTGAAACAGAAGATGTGACTCTCTAGATGTGACTCTATTGAGGGGGGGTGCCCATATCTATAACTCTTGCCTCACAGCTCCTTTCTAAGTCAGTCATTTGATATAGTGCTCAGTTAAACCAATTTGTAGCATTTCTGGAAAAATACTCTTTTCTGGATATATATATATACCAAAAGACAGAATTCAACTATAACAGAGTTTGACTTTATTCAACATTTGTGATTTATTCAACTTCAAATCCTTTGCCTGTAGCACCAGCTATGATTGACTTGCCCCATCTGTGCAGCACATTCCAAGGAAGTATATGTTGCTGTGCAGATGTGCCCATGTCTTGAAGATCGAGGGCTGTGGAAAAGCATGCTGGAGAGGAATTCCCATAAAAGTTAGCACCCGGCCCACAGCCTTGGGATCTGCTCTTCTTTGAGTTGCTGACGCAGTGTCAGCAGTTCCCTCACGGGTGCCCTGACGGACCTGAGAGGGAAGGGGAGTTCATGAGAGGGCTGGAACGGGTCTCGTTCTTGTGAGTGAGCTGGAAGGTCCTTTAAACTCACTCCCAAGTTTCTAGGAAAATTCAGTCATGTAGAAAAAAAAATAGGGGGTGTTGTTCTGTCAAAGGAAAACCTGTCATAGCTCAAGCTCCGTAGTAAAGGACAGTGGTAGTATGGTATGTTTACAAGTTAAACTCTGGTAGTGTGCCACCAAGGCATCCCTAGACGATTGTAGGCTCTTCTTGGAGGGCCATGGTCATGGAACTTTGAGAACTGGAAAGCAGGATACTAAAGATTTGGAGGGATCTTCTGGAACCATTCTGGCAAATAATATTGGCATTGGACCTCCCCACTCAAATTTAAGGTACTATAGGGACTGTCTCATCCCAGTTTCTACTGCATAGCAATTGTCTTCAAACTGGCCCATGGTATCCTGCATGGATGCTTCTTAAGATTCAGTAAATAAAACACACAAGCTCAGGAAGTGAACAACTCAAAAGTTTCAGGAAGTCCCTGACGCAAGGCCGACTCCCCAAGGATATATGCACAGTCACATCTCCAGTCAGCCAGGTGCCTGCAGGAAACCCTGTAGCCTGTCCCCAACAGTCTGCAAGTCATTCAGAGTGCTCCGGAGAGGAAACTTTCATGAGTCCTCATGTAGAAGGGGGTGGGCTTTTGGGTGATGGAGCTTCCTTTGAGTCAACCCATATTCCTGTAAATAACTCCTTACCAGTATACCTGTAAGTAATCCCCATCAACTTATTAGTTGACCAATTTGGACTTTGGTAGACTCATTACTTGATCTGTTATTGGTTCCTTAATTGGGGTCAGTAGACATTTGTCTGTATCTCCACAGGAAAAGCTGTACAACTTCTTACTGAACAGATGAATGCAAAGAATTTGGCTGAGTGGTGTTGACTTATCCTTGAGCGACATGGCATGCTTTTATGCCTATATTCAGATTGTAAGAAAAGCGATTCTCATTCAAAGCCAGAAAAAGTATGTATTCTGGAGGCTGGGGTTGGGAAGGCAATTAGAAAAAGTGAACAGTTTTCAACTATGTGTGTAAGGCTTCTGGGCTTGACAGTTCAGAGGCAAAGTGTTTGTGCCCTCCTTGAACTCTGACCTTAAGTCTCGTACAGCCAATGAGAACTTGACCAGAGCTGCAAAATATAAGCAATCGTGCCTCAAGGTGGCACAGGGTGATCCAGTATGAGCAAACAGAGTGAGCTTTAAGGCTCACCTAAACCTGAGCAGTTCTATGCCTGTATTTTTCTGTACTGGGTCAAATAGAAGCTCTATTAGAACATGTTCACCAAGGAGAAAATATTTTAAAGCACAATGACATTTAGGATAATCCTATAAAATGAGAGTGTCTAGTAGCCCCTGAACTTGATTAATAAGTTCTTGACTCTTGGAGAGAAATTCTCTACTAAGCTTGTGTGTGGACAAGGACCCTGGACCCTGTAGCTGTGTGAACACCAGTTGTCAGCAGATGAGGCAGTATGCTGCAAGGGAAGGCCTGTTCATGTCCCATGGCTTTCATAACCACTGCAGGAGGCTAATGGTAATACTGGTAGGGTATTCCAGATGATGGTCAATTATGTAAACTACCCCCTCATGTTAATTCCCTTTCCCAAAGGAATTGGACAAATGTGTCTGATTCACAGATGCAAGGACTGCAGGGTGCATCTGGGTAGGCCACCCCGTCTGCAGGTCGCCTCAGGTACACTTTGACATACCCAGAGCTCATGTTTTCTAGGTTCACCTTTCTTTGTAAGAAACCAGCTCTTGGCATCTTTAAGATATAGTCCTATTTCTATAGCATGGAACATGCAAAGAAGTCCGGCACTCCATAGAGCAATGGTACAGGGATCCTGTCAGCATCTGTAGACATCTGACATCTAACAAATAGAAGCTAGAGATGCTGCTAAAAATCCTGCAGTGCTGAAGACAGCTTTCCTCAGCAAAGAATTACGCGGTTCCAGCTGTCAACATTGCTGACTGAGAACCGTGGCATGGAGCATCTTGTGGACTCTTGGTGCCAAGGAAACACCCCATGTATAAAATGAGCTGAGGCAGAGGAGCGGTCCACAACCCTTCTTACAGGACCTTTCTCCCTTTGTCTGTGACCCCTGCAATCTCCCACACTTTCCTGGGGTTGAGTGGACCATAGTTTGTGAGATGCTCGGTGTGGCTAACTGAAGGTGAGATTCAGTCATATGATAATGGGGTTGGGATCTTGATCTGCCACCTGCCAGATAGATGAGTTACCTAACCTTCCTGGGTTTGTTTCTTTGATGTGAAATAACTCATTTCTCAAAGGATGGTTGTAAGGTTTGAATGAGCTGATCAGTGTAAAGGCACTTCTTGCTAATCAAATATTCTGGTCAATACTAGGTTAAGTCTTCCTGACTCACAGGCTGTGGGGAAGTAAGAGTAGAGTAGAACTGAAAGCACCCAAAGTGGACTCTAGCACTACTTGGTGAACACCTGTTCCTGGAAGTCAGAGAGAGCCTTAGAAAATAGGTTCTTCGGGTCTCACATCTTTTGAAGTAGGCATAACCTTAATAAACTTGGTATTTTAGACTATTCTGAATCCTTTAAGACCCACTTAATTATTATTAAATTTGTGTTTTGTCATTTGAAGACACAATCTCTGTAACCCCAGGCTGGCTTCGAACTCAACATTATCCTGTCCCCAGCCTCCTAGTTCTGGGGTTACAAACATGCATGCCCAACTTAGTCCTACTTTAAAACCAGAATTTGTCACCTACACAATTCCAGGGAATATTGTTTTCATATTGTGATAGTCTCCTGTTTTACTGCTCTCTCTCTCTCTCTCTCTCTCTCTCATCTATCATCTATCTCTATCTATCTATCATCTACCTATCATCAATCTATCTATCATCTATCTATATATCTATATATATCATCTATCTATAGTGTGTGTTATATGTACTATCATCTATCATCTATCATCTATCTATCCATCCATCTATCATCCATCTACTATCTATCTATCTATCTATCTATCAATCATCTATCTATCATCTATCTATCATCTATATCATCTATCATCTATCTATCATCTATCTATCAGCTATCTATCCATCTATCATCTATCATCTATCTATCCATCCATCTATCATCCATCTATCTATAATCTATCTATCATCTATCATCCATCTATCATCCATCTACTATCTATCTATCTATCTATCAATCATCTATCTATCATCTATCTATCATCTATCATCTATCTATCCATCTATCATCTATCATCTATCTATCATCCATCTATCATCCATCTATCTATAATCTATCTATCTATCTATCATCATCTATCATCTATCTATCTATAATCTATCTATCTATCTATCATCATCTATCATCATCTATCTATCATCCATCTATCATCTATCTATCTATAATCTATCTATCTATCATCATCTATCTATCATCTATCTATCATCTATCTATCTATAATCTATCTATCTATCTATCATCATCTATCATCTATCTACCTATAATCTATCTATCATCTATCATCTATCTATCATCATCTATCTATCTATCTATC